AGAGGGGTACCCGAAGGGCTCAGTACAGGGGCCGCCAATGTCCTCTAAGGGGTTTAGGTGCCTGTCGGATCTGCCCCGCAGTTCCGATTTTCATTTCACCCCTAGATTTTGGCTCCTAAACCCTAAACCTTAAACCTTAAGCCCTAAACCGTGGCATATCCTTTACAGTAAGGCTTTTGGGGACTGAGGGGTCTATTCAAGTCTATTCTTTCAAGTGAGGGTCGTTACTCTTCCTCGAGGTCCTGTCGGCTTTGAAACCGAAGCCCAAGCCCTACCAAGTTTAAACCCTGGACCATATAAAACCCACCTTTTTTGAGATCCTTGCTAAACTCTCAGAGTCCTGTCGTCTTTAAGGTCGCTCCGTGGTGGGATGTCACATGTTCAACCACAGAGACTTTCCGCAAGACCGGTACAGCGAGTGGCAGGAGATCGAGTTCAAGGAGGAGTCCGTGGGTTCCCTCATAAATCTTAAGAGCTATGTGGGGCTCCTTAAAGGATTCTATACGTGCTCCTATACGAGTTATGCTAATTCTCGGGTTCCTTAAAGGATTCTATAAGTCTTCCTTTGTAAGGGTTATGTAGGGTTAGACGCTCAGTAGGTTAGGGGTTCGGGTTTCGCGGTTAGGGTTTAGGGTTTCAAGCAGTAACTGCCCCCCCCCTGGGCAAAAAAGGAGTTGGTGTGGTAGGGGTTTACGGAGTTCGTGTTGTGTCAATGGGATACTTGGCTGTCGACTTTTGCGGTTTGTTTTCATATCGACGGTTCGAGGCAGTGTTACGGCTTACGTGGCCCGAAATGGCACCTGGTCGTACATGATTGATGTTGTAGAAAGAACGTGCAGCTGAAGCTGTAAACTCAAATCAATGGCTCACATGACCCTTGTCTTTTCCAAGTGTAGCTTAGCGTTTAGTAGCCGATGAAGTGGGCACGCGAATCTTCAAAGCTTCACAAGGAAGGTATGGTTCCTAGTACCCTTCAAGGGATACTCCCTGGAACACCGGACCGAACCCCCAAACCCTAAACCGTAAACCCTAAAACCCTAAACCCTAAACCCTAAACCATGAAACCCTAAACCCCCAAAACACTCTCCCCTAAACCATGCCAAACCCTGAGCCCTGGGCCCCTAAACCACCCCCGAAACCTCGAAACCCGAAACCCCGAATTAAAGGAAACTACTGGTGGGGAGTTTAGGGTATATAGGGCTTCTATAAGGCTTCTATAAGGTATATAGACCTTCTATAAGGCTCCTATAACGGTAACTACCCACCTGAAAATGTCCTAGACCGAAATCCGAAACCCTACACCCTAAGCAAGTTTACGGTTTGGGGTTTAGGGTCCCTAACCCCTAAACCCTAAGCCCTAAATCTTAAATCCTAAACCCTAAACCCCAAACCCTACCTGAAGGATCATGCCCTAAACCCTAAACCCCAAACCCCAAACCTGAAGGATCATACCCTAAACCCTAAGCCCCAAACCCCTACCTGAAGGATCATGCCCGAAACCCTAAACCCCAAACCCCCAAACCCCAAACCTGAAGGATCATGCCCTAAACCCTAAACCTCAAACCCCAAACCCTACCTGAAGGATCATACCCTAAGCCCTAAACCCTAAACCCCAAACCCTACCTGAAGGATCATGCCCTAAACCCTAAACCCCAAACCCCAAACCCCAAACCTGAAGGATCATACCCTAAACCCTAAACCCCAAACCCCAAGCCTGAAGGATCATACCCTAAACCCTAAACCCCAAACCCCAAGCGTGAAGGTTCATACCCTAAACCCTAAACCCTAAACCCCAAAACCCTACCTGAAGGATCATGCCCTAAACCCCAAACCCCTAAACCCTAAACCCTAAACCCCAAACCCCAAACCCTTAAAAACAAACCCAAGCCTGAAGGATCAGACCTGCGTCTTCGCAATCGTCCAAGCGGGGCCTGGCTGGACCAGCACCGTCTCCCACACCGACAAGCGACTTGGGTTGAAAGGTTTAGGGTTTAGGGGTTTAGGGTTTAGGGGTTTAGGGTTTAGGGGTTTAGGGGTTTAGGGTTTAGGGGTTTAGGGTTTGGGGTCTAGGATATTCCTGGGCATGATCTGAAGTCAATGCTGTGGGCTTTCAGTCCGGTCGAGATCTGACAAGGCCGTTGCAAAAAGGGTCTAGGATATTCCGGTTTCGGGTTCAAAGGTTTATAGGGTGAGAGGGGTTTAGGATTTCGCGGTTTGGGGGTTTAGGGCTTAGTTTTGCAATAGTAATCTGACAGCTTAACACCGTATTTTAGTGGATTTGCTGGACGTAAGGGACCCTAAAGCCCTAGACCCTAAAACCCTAAACCCTAACCACTAACCCCTAAACCCCTAAAGCCTTAAAACCCTAAGCCGTAAGGAAAGTCAAGAAGCAGGGAACCTGGAAACTCGTCTCGCGCACGCCCAAGAGGGCCACGGTGGCCGTCGAGTGGGAGGACGGCAAGCGTGAGACGCACTTCGTCTAATCGGTGTTTAGGGTTAAGGGTCATAATGAATCTAATATAAAGGCCCTTAATACTTACCTATACTAATTTGGGGGGGTTCCTTGTTGTAATGATAGTATAACGGGCCCCAAAACCCCATTCTAAGAATCAAGGCCACTACATTAATCATGATAATGACCTGCTTCAACTCTTCCGCCTCGGACGTGCTAGGTACGCGGCAAAAAAATACTGCATCGGTACACCTGAAACCTGTTGATCCGGCATAGTATAGTTGCTTCAAGCAATTACCAACACTAGCTTGGAGGTTTCGCTCTTGTGGTCTAAAATACCCCCAAGCCACGTCCACGACCCAACCTCCCTCACTCAGATGGCTAGTTTTCCAAACTAGGGCACCTTTTCAGGTTCCCCAAATAGTACTACGGCACGCTTATAATAATGACCCTAAAAGGGACCCAAATTTAGAGAACTACCGATATCCTGGTCGGGTTTGCCTTCGTTGCGATTGCTCGGAACCCAAAGCCTGAACGGTTTGGGTTTAGGGTTTAGGGATGTTTAGGGGTTACTATCGTGTGTATCTCTCTGAACAGTCGTTGTTGGATCCGCAGGTAAAACATATAGGCCCAAAGCCCTGAAGCTTGAAACATTTCGCAAGCCCTATAAAACCTAAAGCCTTAGTTAAAACCTTAAACCCTAAACCCCTAAACCTTAAACCCTTAAAACCAGGAACCCCTGTAATTAAGCCCCAGAGCCAGCAAGCCGAAAGTCGACACTTGGTGCAGCTTCCTTTTTTCGCTGGCCGGCCTGCATGATGAAAGCCGCTCTTTCTTAATCAAGCCTTCGGCTATTGAAAATCAAGTCTTCGGGTTTAGGGGCTTAGGCTTTTGGAGTTTATGTTTGGTCAGAGTTTGGTTTAGGGTGTTTCAGAGTTTCGTTTCTGTGGAGTGTAGGGCTTCGGGTTTGCCATGTCCCGCAGTCTTATTGGTAGCTAGCGGTAGTAGCTACACCCTAAACCCTGAAGCCTCATAGCCTATGTACACCCTAAACCTAGCACCTAATTAAAACCCTGCACACCTAAACCCTGACCCCTAAACTCTATAAGTAGGTGATAGCCATCCAACCCTCAGGGTTCGGCGTGAAGCCACAATAGGGTTCCGAGGGTTTCAGACCACATAAATGATTATCCGTGCGTGGTGGTGGGGGCTTAATTCCATAACATTAGTATATATAGACCCTCTAGGTTAGGGTGGTGCACGGGTTTAGGGTTTGGGTGTTAGCGTGGGGTGTAGAGGGTTTAGCGGGTAGGCTTTAGGAGGCTTTATGTAAGCTTTAGGTTTCAGGGCTTAGAGTAATCTGCTATTTGTTTATGTTCTGGGCTTCTGCTTTCCGTCCTGCAAATCGCCGGGGAAGAGTCGGCCGACTGCTGCCCATCTTCGCCTTGTGGCTCGGGGCAGCCACGAGACTGGCACGACCACGTAGTACTCAAGGGCCCAAACGGGCGAGACCTCAAACCCTTCACGGCCCAAGACTCTAAGAAAACATCAAGTTTGCGACTTCGGGTTCTTACCATCGTTTGGGAACTGTGCGCAATGCCGATGGGGCTTGCTGAAGGCAGCCTCATCCAGAAAAACCAACCCCAAAAGCAATACTTGGGGGACCGCGTCCAATCTTGCTCAGCGATACAACACATCCCGCTCATATTCCAAATGCAGAGCCGTTTACACAAGCGTGTTTCGAGTTCCCTGGGTATACGACATGCGACATGCAATCAAGCAGCAAAGCTTGATATCCCTGTGGAGCCGTGAGCGCTACGCTCGCATGGGTTTCCGGAAAATGCACGAGGGACAACAAGACATGTTCTTCGGTCCGACGTTTGTAGTCTGATCCCTCCTGCTTTGCAGGATCCCAAAAAATGATCCCTTAACCCCAAGCCCTACAAGCTAGTAGGGTATGACCCCCTTTATAAGGTGCAAGTCCCCGACACAATTCGTTTTTGGATCTCCAGGATGGCTTTGTGGTGAAATCCTTCGAACCTTTGAGGGTCCTTTCATTGTTGAGGTCGGTCCGTGGTGGTTGGTCGCTGAACCCCATGTCGCCACAAGGCTTCCTTTAAGGCTCCTATAAGGGTACTACTGTTGATGGTATTAGTATAAATCCTTCATTACCTTAAGGACCCTAAACTATGGGACTTATGATATATTCCTTATTCTGGGTAATGCAGGATCTATAATCTCATCAACCGTATGGGGGCTTTAGGGTTTAGGGTCTGAGGTTCCATGTACCCAAACAGTATATGCTTTTTTGCCCGGAGGAACCCTAGCGAGCGCTTTGCTCGCATGGGCTTTCCGGATCTGCGCGGGAAAACAAGACATGAGTTGCGGTCCGATGTGTCTATTATGATGTCTGTGCGTTGAGCTTCGGTTCTGTTTATCGGCAGTATTAGGGCCCTGCTTGGGGTCAGAATACCCCTGTGAGGACCTCACAGTGTTATATTGCCTTTGAAATGCCATGAGGTGATTCAAGCTCCTTTCCGCTGGGCAGGCATGCCTTGCTGACTTCAAAAACTACCTCCGCCGGAAGTATGGAAGCTTCCTTCGCGCCTGGTTTAAGGCCCCGGTCTTTGAAAGCACGACGGTGTTGCAGTCAAAATGGTCGCTAAAAGACCTCGGGGGTCTTGGACAACTTGCACGACGGTTAGACGCTAATCTCGCCAGTGGAGGCAGTGCCAATCTTGGTTGAAGTGTGATAGGCTTGTCTGGTTCTCTCTGAGTGACTTAGGGCTTAAGCCTGTTGGGTTAATGCTGTCTGCTTCCAGGTTCAGGTTCAGGGAGTTTGGCGCTGAGAGTTGACACTTGCGGGTCCTATTGCCGATGCACGGTTAAAGACTCAAAAAGCTGAACCTCGCAGCCTAACGAATAACGTTTGAGACCACATGCCTACACCACCTGTTCCTGAAATTGGATGAAGGTAGGTAGGTTTTAGTTTGGATCCCTGATATCAGGTCTACTACTTGGGGATGTCTCCGGCCTCCCTTCATCCCACACCTTCGAGCCCCTTTGACCCTGAGGACCCAATAGGTATATGGGAATATACCTTAAATTATAGGGGCCCTAATATTATGATTTAAGGTACATTTTTTTTAATTAAGGGGTATTGGGTTCTCTAGGAACCCTAAACCACTGAACCCTAAACCCTAAACCCTATAAAACCTATAAAAGGAACCCCCAAAATAGTATGACCTTAAATCATAATATTAGGGCCCCTATAATTTAAGGTATATTCCTTAACTAAGGGGTACTGGGTTCTCTGGGGACACAGCCGCAGGCATTGAGCCCAGACGGTGCCATGATCCTGCGCCGAAGCGAGGTCTTCAAGGCACGGAGGGCCCAACTCGACGATCTAGGTGAGGGTGCTTCTGTGCTTCCTGTGGCACCATCTTAGGGTTTAGGCTTTAGGGCTTTAGGACTTGAGGTTTAGAGTTTAGGGTTTAGGGTTTGTAGGGAAGTCCCTGCCCTCGAGCATCTTGCCGGCATACAATCCAAGCCCGTGCTCAAAAAGGGTTTGTAGGGCTTGACTGTTTAGGGGTGTTTCATGGTCTTACTAAGTCTCAGTTATCCGGTCTTCAAGGCCCGGCGCACCCGAGCCGATCTGGGTGAGATGGTGTGGCACCGAAACATTTCCTTAAGGGCCCTACTAAACCCTAAACTATGATTATGGTATATTTCCTTATGGGTAATGCAGACTTTATATCATCAACTGTATAGTAGAAGCCCAAAAGTTGGAAACCCAATAGCCTCAGTCCTTAAGAGAAATGTATAGGGAAGCCCAGCACGATTTGGCCTGAATGCCACTTTTTTTGGGGGGTTACCGTAATGGCATTGGGCTTCAGGGGCGTTCAGCTTTCAGCCTTTGAGTTTCAGAGTCAAACCCTAAACCCCTAAACCCTAAACCCCTAAACCCTAAAGGCCCTAAACCCTAAAGGCCCTAAGCCCTAAACCTAAACCCTAAACCCCTCGGCCCCAGACCTGCCGGCACGGCTTGGGCCCTGTCCATCGTCAGCTCAGGGACTCGGTGGATCTCGGTTGTTCTTCTCCTCATGTCTGGGGCTTGCCTTTAGGGTATAAGGTTTCGGGTTTAGGGTTTAGGGTAGGCCCCATAGTAGTTCCTTTTTGGGATTACCTGATAGGAACCTAAATAAAAGCCACAAAAAGGAACTACTATGGGGCCCATATGGGTAGAGCCTAGATGCTTTGAAGATTTCTAGGTAGCTCAGAACCAAAGGCCGCTGGAAGCCAGTGTTAGAGTTCGACAAATAGACTCTGTCGCAGTGGAAGCAGAGATTGGAGACGACGCGGACGTTCCCGGACGCCCAAAAAGCGACTCTCAGGGCATGTTACAGGACAGCGAAGCACACGTGCATGGCGCATGCAGCGGCATATACATATTTCTTGTGTATATATACATATATACATATAACACACACACATATATATGTATATATGTATGTATACATATATACATATGCATGCACACAGGCACACATACCCGTACGGGCACAGCTCCAAAACTGGAGCATGGCGTTTGAATTGAAAACCTTCGGCCCTCCAAGCTTCTATCACTCCTATATCCCTACATCTCCCCCGGAGCCCCAGATCCCCAGAACGGTTACTGTTGAGGAGCCATCCCCACAGTAGGAAACCCCAAACCATGCAAAGCAAGCACCGCTCCCAATATAACCCTAAACCCTAAACCCAAACCGTGTGGAGCCTTGCCTGCTGCGTGCGAGTGTGAGAGTCGAAACCCAAACCGTGGGGAGTGAAGGAAGCGGTCTAGTCGAAAAGTACCCCGGCATGGGACTCGGCATGGCCGCGGACATTTTGCACAAGAGTCTGATGTCTCCGAGAACCTGCGATCTTTGGAGCCTAGACCTACCTGTAGTCTCCATTGTAGTTCTTTTTTTTGGTTTAACCAATTATATATTAAGGAGTTTATAAGGCATCCCCAAAAAGGAACTACAATGGAGACTCTAGGTAGACTTTGAAAAGTGCAAGGATATGCAAGGACCTCGAAATCACGGACCTGCAACTCCAAGAGATCCCATATCACGTCCTAAACCAGAAATACTAGAAACATGCAGCGCTACTGTGCTGAGCCCTGGAGTAAAGCTGAGCAGCAATTTGATCTTCGACGCAGGCGTGCGCCCAACTGGGTTGGCCAGGGAATGTTCGTCTCTTGTTCTCGGCCTTCGACAAGGCTTCTCGGGCCAGGGTTTGGGGCTTAAGGTTTTGCCCTGGGCTTTGGTTCTACCCAACAAGTTCAGTTGCATGTCAAGGCTTCGAGCTATGTATACCCCCCCATCATATTCATGTGCAAGGAACGGTTTTGACAAACACCTGACCTAACAGACCTTGATGGCTTGGTTCCACAATCTGTTCATATATCCCTGCTTCCCTCCGCCCCATGCAGCCACAGACAAACAACACATGAGTAGCTGAACCAACAGCTTCGACAACGACAGTGGTTTGTTGCAGCTCATTATTGCCATGTCGATGCTACTCCGACATGTTTGCACTCGTTTGTGTGCCTGTGCCTGTTTAACTGTATACATATGTATATATATATATAGAATGTATGTATATGTATATATATATATATATGCGGGAGAGAGAACTGAAGTGTACGCAGTTTTACATATCAAAGGTAGATCGGAAGAGCGAGACATTGTTGATGCTCAAGTCAGTAGGGTAAGGAAACCATCCACTTGCTTTCGCCTCCACACCGCTCTCGGAAGGACAACAGTGGCTACGTGTCCATCGAGGAGTCGGTTTCCTTTTCCAATGTTGTCGTTTGCAGCTCTCGTGCGTGCCACTTGTGCCTGCGGTATCGTCGACAGCCAGTGGTACATGGTCCTGCATGAAGCCTTGTCTAGACCCCCGCATCTATTCTCAACCCAGTATACCCTACGCATACCCTACACATACCCAACACATACCCAACACCAAAACCCCCCAACTCCAATCCCTACAGGCAGTGAGCCATTCGTAGGAGCTTGATGCTCGAGCTGCCGAACTCCTCGCCCACTTTCATGACTTCGTCATGAGTGGCCTGTCTTCTTCTTTCTGCCTGGACACCTGTTCAGGGGTCTGTACGCTTTAGAGATGTGTAGAGAGTTTGGCTTTAGGAGTTGGGCGAGAGATTCTTCCAGTGCTTCCGAGCAGAATGATGGTCCTACACTCGCGTAAGTTGATGCATACGCGGAACGTGTCTACGATCTACTTTCTTACGCTTTGTGAGTCTGATTTCGTGACGCGAGAGTTGGTGGAATTTTGCTGTGTCTACTTGAACTTGCTTGCTGTCATGGTATTTCGAGCTCTGCATCGACCAGGTGCCTGCATGCTCCATGAGGTCGATCACTTGTGGACACATGAACTTTGTAGCATTTAGCTTTTACCATAGAAGCCTACATAATTACCAATATTATTCCTCAGGGTTCTTGTTAGAATTATACTATACAGGAGCCCAAAACCCTATTCTAATTATTACGGCCCCTACATTGCAGACTTGGCTTGGAGGGGCCTCCAAGAGCAGCCGAGGCAAATTTGGCAGTGCCACCGCAGCGTTCCATGCTTTCGACAAGTACAACCAGCCGCTTGGCTCCGAGCAGAACTTGGCTTCTTCTGAATTAAGACCCCTTCTGAACCTTGCGTGTTATGTGCCACGTCTTGTTCTTGTTTTGGAGCAGCCTCCAGCATCCAAAATCAAGATGTTTGAAGAGTTGGGGTTCTAGGTAGAAAGTTAAAGAGGTGGGAAGGATCTTAAGTATGACATATATACCTTAAATAGAACCGAAACGTCCTCCACAACCCGGGCCCTTTGGGCACTGCGGCACAGGTCGTCATCCTAGACAGACAGCGACTTGCACCCTAAGTCAGGCGCCGGAGCAAAAACGAAACAACACTCGCGCTGCACTATCACCTCCTGTTCGCCCTGCAGTGCCAATCTCGTGGCACCCAACTGGCAACTTACATGTGGTATTCCCCTTTCGTGGTTGTGTCAAAGAAGTGAAGCCTCAGAAAAGTGCCACAAGCATCCAAAAGCCACCGTTTCGATTGGGGGGGGTTCTGGTTTTAGTCTGACATGACTACACGAGCAAGGGCTCACTGTGGTGTGATTCTGCGGATCCGCCGCCGATTCACAAGTTTTGGCAGTTTCACAAGTACTCAACACTGCAACCTCAAATTTGGCCTCCTCACTCGGGACCGGTTAGGCTTGTGCATCATTTGTGTCAAGTATCGATGCCACCAGGGGCATATTTCCCCCAGATGCTGGCTTCGGCACTCTAGGTTGGTGCTTCCAGTCGCTTCCAATATCAGAGTTCCAGAATCCAGCAGGCATTTCGGCTCCGATGTTTGCGCCGGAAACGTTTGGGACGTGCTGCCTCGATCATTGGGACAAGAAGCTCCGGAGAAATGTGGAGCGGCCTGTTCCGGTCGCACCTCTCTCAGCTGACCCTTTGCAGACGTGCCTGGGCACATCAACTGCGAAGGTCATGGCAGAGTTTGGCGACGTCTTCCGTTCAGGCTGCGATAGCACTGCCAGGCGATTCCTTGGAAAGTTTGCGGGAAAAGAACTCGAATTTGAGGGCGATTCTGCAGACGTTGCAGTGGCCACGGCTGCTTCGTTTCCATGGATATGGTGAAACCCACGAGCTGCCTCTTCGATCAGAGAAGGGCAAACCTCTAGGTGCTTTGCCGGCAGCTGATGGACGAGTCCTACAGTACTTGGCTGGATTTTTCGACGGCGACGGCTGCGTGTTCGGCCGTGGGTTACACGTTGTTCAGTGTTTCGACAAGGCCGAGGTATTGATGCTCTTCCGAGCTACGTTCGGCGGCAGTATCACGAAACTCCGTGATGGTGCAGGGCTCCGGAGACCGATGTTGCAATGGAGGGTCTGGGGGCCAGCTGCCAGTCAGGCTTCTGGTCTTCTGGCCCCATGCAGCATAACGAAGCATAGGCAGTTGTTGTTGCTGGCCGGCTGGCCTCAACAGCTTTCAAGCAAGCAAGAGTATACGAGCGAGCTGAGCATGTTGAAACGGTTCGATTCAGCTGTTTCCAGCGATTCCTCGATCGAATATTTTACCGGCTTCTTCGATGCAGAGGGATACATAAGGTTGAACGGCAAAGCCTCTTTGCAGCTCCATGTTGTTCAAAAGTTCGGAGCAGTGTTGAGCTGTTTGCAGCATATGCTGGCGCAGAACCTGAGAATTCACGCTAGGGTGTACCACCAGTCGTCCAGATACTCGCTGTGTATTCTTGGCACATGTGCCGCCAAGTCCGTTTTGCATGAGATGCTAGGAGCTGGGATGCTTGCCAAGGCCAGGCAGGCAGGGCTTGCCGTGAGCTTGACCCTACAAAATGCAGAAGAAGTCTGCAAGGAGATGACAGATTGTGTTGGCAATCAGTCATGTGTCAAAAGACAAGACCTGGCTGGCCGCGTGAGGGCCCAGAGAATAGCATACATGCAGGCGAAAGCAAGAGCTGGAATTGGGCACGGCTCGAAGTTGGCGGAGCTTCAGAGGTTCAGGTGCGAGCACGCACTGCTGAATGCTCAGCATGCGAACCGGGAGCTACGAGAGTACATAAGCAAGATCCAGAGCTTGCATGGTGAATGTTGGGATGTCGACTGAAGCCTTGGCAGAGGCTTGCTGTAGCCACTGGTTTTCACGACCCAGGCTGATGTGGAATGCACGGCATGAGCACGACTTCTGCACTGCGCGCAAAAGACAGTCCTCGCGCAGCACTCCTGTTTCAGCTTCTCATTCCCGCGTTCATCCCACGGCCTTCCAACCAATGATTTACTACAGCCCGGTCTTGTAAGTTCTGTGTTCAGGATTGCGTACTGTTTGTTGCATTGGCGGAGGCAGCTCCTTTTGTCGCCGGCTTCGGCCTGGTTGTTTCGACTCAACAACCCAAGATGCACCAAGGAAGAAGCTGAAGCAGCACGAGTTCATCAGCCAGGTGGACTGGCAGCAGACTTGAGTCGAAGGGAGTGTGCACGTGGGTTGCGGATCCTGTCATGCACGGCGGGGTTCTACGTTGCAGCCGTGCTTTAGCTTCTAGCTGCCTGCAGGATGGAGTGTGCTCGGTTGCGGACTGAACCGGCTTTGCAATTCAGTCACAAGCTTACATTCTGAACCCTCAGCCATTAAACGACAACAGCAGGTGCCGACCCACCAGCTTGAATCCTAAACCCTCTCCCCCAAACCCTTCAATAGACCTGAAGGTGAAGAACCATGGCTTCCAGCATCCCGCGAAGCTCCTCTTCCACGGCCTGGACCACAAGGAGATGAAGGCAACGTCCGGCAGTTTCGGCCGGGCTTTGGTTGCTTCAGTTTGCTTAGGCTGTTGACGCGAGGTTTGAAGTTTGTGATTGCGAGGGCGTTGGTTCACCTGAGGCAGTTTAGGCTTTCAGCCTAGGGTGAGTCTAGTGTCTTGAGCTTATACGCTTTTGGGTTTTGGCTGAAGGGATTCAGGGCTAAGAGCATTGCAGTCCCTGCTCAAAATAGACAGTTGAGCATGTAGGAAGCCCTCGATTCTGTATGGGGGACCTACCAACATTGCCTTTTCGGCTTTACTACATGTTGGCTGTAAGTCAAGTTCGGAGGCTCTAGCGTTCGCGAGCTGGGTGTGTTCAAGACTCGAAACTTTCTTTGCTGCTTGTGGTGGGATGTATAATTTTGGTAAGAAGCATAGAGAGCACTTCCTCCCCTTCACCTCGGGCTTTCGAGTCGTCAGATACAGCGGACGGCTAGGGCAGGGGATATACAAGTCACGATGCAGCTTTTTGAGTTTCTTGGGTTAGGACCAGGGGATTTGTTTTGCACAATGACGGGAATGAAGGCGGAGGTTTGCCATAAGCCTGAGCCGGCTAAACAAATGTGGCAGAGGCTGTGATGCTGGAAGACATGCTTTTTCTGGACCGCTGGAAACCACCGGCATTCCTGACACGCCACCTGAGCTGCAAGGCATTCGAATTCGCAATTCACTGTTTCAAAGTGCGTGAAAGCTAACAGCAGGTCACTATCCCTTGCAACTGCGCAGTTCCAGGCTTTAGAGCCGATCGGTTGGTTCTATTCCTCCAAGCACTCGGGTTTGGATGCACCGCTGTTCAGGGTTTAATCGCGACGACCCATGACTTGCTACAACAACTGTGATATTGCTGAAGGAAGGCCATAGTATTGCTACTTAAATTGGTGTCCGACTTGTGTTCCCTGCTTCCCTGCACGGCTGCATTGCGGGCTTTCCAGTCTCAGGAACTGCTAACCCACAGGCCATGGAGGAGTTCAAAGCGCTGCGTCTCGTCTATCCTACAATGCCACGTTGTTGAGATTCTGGGATGTAGGTTTAGCTGTGGGAAGCAAGGTGGCAGCTTTGGACCAGACTTGCGTGAGGAACCTGAAACCCTTGCGTCCCCTTGGGTTTGACCATAAAACCTCATTCAAACCATATAGGCCCTTAACAAGGTTTGAGGCTCCTTGCGCTGGCACTTTCGAAATTACAGCCTCGTAAGCTCAAGGCTGGCCCTAAACCCAAAATCCCTAAACCACCTTACAACCCCTAAACCTGAACCCTAAAACCTAAACCCCTAAACAATCTTAAGTCCCTAAGTCCTAAACCCCTGAACCCTAAACCAGGCTGGTCCGGAACTACAAGAACTTCCTCAAGGCTTGGCGACACTGCCTGGACCAGGAGCCGTCAGATGGCATATCAGGGATCTATAGTACATAATAGGGTTTGAAATGTAAGACACCCTAGATACCATAAAAGCGATCTGTAGTAAATAAGAGGGGTTCCTTACTATGGTAACTTAAAGCCAAATTCCTTAACAAGAACCCATTCAGAGCTCTACACGAGAAAGTGCGCGGAAGGCCTCAGAGATTGAGTTTGCCACTCGATTGCCATGTTGGCTTCAAGACTTGTGCATGTAGACCTTGAAAATCTCGTTGAGGGGATTCGTTCCAGTGTCCCAAACATTAGCCCAACAGTCCGGCATTGAAGATACATTTCCTCGGTGTTGGTCTGATGACGTCTCAGAGCATCGGACCCTGAGTACCACGACAGCAAGGCCTCCATGAGGAGTTCGATTGCTGAGCCTTGCCTGCTAATTTTTTGTGGCGGCAGATTGTTAGGACGCAGTTCCGCTCTACCTGTCGTGGGTGCGAGAAGATTTGACCACTATGTGGGTTAGGGTGGTCCACCTCCCGCAGCCAACAACTCGTACAATTGCTTGGGCTCAGCGGAAATTTGCTACGTGGGCTGCTCAAAGCTTGGGAGCACTGCCGGGTGACACCCTGGAGACCTTGCGGCACAAAAATGCCAAGCTGAGAGCAGCTCTGAAGACAACGCAGTGGCCACGGCTGCTCCGTTTCCACGGCTCTGACGGCGGTGAAGCATACGAGTTGCCTCTTCGGTCGCAGGAAACATGTCCCTCCCCTTTGCCCGCTGATGCAGATGACATTTTTCGCTACTTGGGTGGTTTTTTCGATGGAGACGGGTGTGTCGAAGGCTACCTTACAAACTGTAGGCTGGCCGTTGGGCAGTCTTTCGACAAAGCCGAGACTTTGATGCTTTTCCGAGCTACATTCGGTGGCATCATTGCAAGACACGGTGAGGGTCGGGGGCTACGGAAGCCGACGATCAAGTGGTACATCAGTGGACCGGCTTGTCGTCGTGCAGCACGTCTGCTGGCTCCTTACACATTATCGAAGCAGAGACAACTTCTGTTGCTGGCTGACTGGCCTGAAAATGAATTTGACAGGCGGCAACGTGTAGTGGAGCTGAGCCGTTTGAAGCGACTGGATTCTGCTGTGGTTGGTCCATGCTCTGTTGGATACTTCGCCGGGTTCTTCGATGCAGACGGGAACATACGGACCAGACACTACATTTCCATTCAGCTCCGAATAACTCAGAAGTTTAGGACTGTGTTGGACTGCTTGCTACGGTTCTTGACGCAAGATCTCGGAATTCGGGCCACACTCACCATGGAATGTGAGCACTTTTGCTTGAGTGTATATGACACCTCCAGTGCAAGGCAGGCGTTGCACAGCATGCTGAGTGCGGGGATGCTTTGCAAAGCAAAGCAAGCAAAGCTGGCCCTGACCTTGACTCCTGAGAACGCAGCTCAAGTCCATGCAGATTTAGCTGAAATGGTGGGGAACCAGAGTTTTGGGAAAAAGCTGGACGAAGCTGGTCGGGCTAGGGCACGTGGCATTGCAAGCTTGAAAACGAGGAATGTGGTCATGGACCCTTGGCAGCTGCGAGAACTTGAGATGTTGAAGTTGGAACACGAAACCTTGAAGGCACAGCGCGAGAACCAGCTGCTGCTCGAGTACAAGCAAAAAATCGAAACACTGCGTGGGGAACTTTGGGAAGTCGGCCACTGAGGGTACGATGTCAGACCATGCTTCGTGTTCCGAGATGCGGCCACCCGTCGGCCCAAGCTTGCATTCTTCGAGCAGAGCAGCCGGCACCGCGACTCGAAAGCCCTCGACCTCGTTTGCGACATTTGAGCTGTGCGAAACGAGCGACAGCGAGGCCCTTTGGTCGAAGATGAGCCGTGAATCTGAGCACCGCTGATCTTGTGCGTCGGTGAACTCGTCTGCCGAAGATCGCCGACAGAGATGCAAACGAAGAACAAGTGCGGAATCAAGCTCCAAATCAAGCTCCACATATTTTGGCTGGTGTAATAGGGTTCTAAAAACTTCACACTTCACCATAAGCTGCTGCTCACCTGCACGCGCAGGACTCCAGCAACCGATGCAATTACGACGAGTTCGATGCAGCATGCCAGAAGCTGAAGTTCAAAGGCCAGCGCCTTAGGGTCGAGTGGGTGCCTGTCCTTTACAGCACTCCCGAACTGCAACAACCCGGATGCCAAGCTCTGCTTCGAGATGTCTTCTTTTTTTGGCAAGAACTATTAGATCACGAGAGAGTCCATGTGCAATTGCATTTCAGGCAACTCGAAAGTATGGTGGTATGCATACCTTCGTGGTGATCGTTAACTTAGGGAGTGGGGCTAACGGTATCATGGTTTCCGTCACAATCAACCTCCACCAGCCCATGGCAGAACGGTTCTCGAATGCCGCCTGCCCGAAGGCGATGTTGCGGGTGCCTGGAGAGCTTTGGATGAAGACCTGTCCGGATACATCACGCTCCAGGTCGGGCAGAGATTAGTGTCATGCATAAGGGGATGCCTCCGGTAGCATGTAGGTTGTACCAAAAGGCACATTGCAAGCAGAGTGAGATGTGCAATGAAAATGTACGGTTTGTGGCCTGTATCGAAAAGTTATTAACAGCACGTGTTTCAATCCTTACTGAAGACCATCGACAAGGCAACTGCAGCCGCTCAAGCCGCTATTCAGAATTGTTCAATGTGCCTGAAGCAGAGGTGAGGGTTTGTCATGGGTTTCTGAGGGGTCACGATGCTCAGTTGGTTTCATGGGTCCACGGTGGTGGAGCAGTTGATTGAGAGATTGAAACATGCATCGCGCTTTTGCTTATCCGGCTGAATCTGTGACGAGGATGTCTTGAGACTGGCGACTGGCTGGCGCCATCTTTCTTGTTGATCTGACATCTTCTTGAGCCGAAACGTGCTGTCGCTGTGAGGAGATCGACCCAGCTTCCTCCAGCGCCTTAGCCAACTTCCGCAGGTGCGGTGTTAAGCTGTTGACTTTCATGGGGGATGATGGTGGTTACTGTTGAAAGGCTGGGAATGTCTGAATAATCAACATGTCCGAAATAGGCAAGGTTGGTGTCGAAACTGCTGAACCTGCAGCGAAACATCAATGCTGCCCACTGTGTGTCTGCCCGGGCCCTCCCGCAAAGCTTCAGCGTGAGAGTAACAACACATGTCTTCCGCTTCAAGATGCAACGCATCACAGAACCAGCACTGGATAATGACTGGATATGCCACGGACAGCCGGGCAGGTGGTGTGACGAGGAGTTTGGCAGCGTCCGGTCAGCCTTCAGCGTCTTTGACAACAGTGGCGACAACGAGGAGCCACGGCTGGTGTGGAATGTCGTTGGCTGGGCAAGGGTAGCAAAGGGCCTTCATGAGGATAGTAGGCCTTCTTTGGGGGCTGGAAGTGCCGAAAAGTGCAGGAGAAGCTGAGTGCTGCGCGTCTTGTGCAGCTGCAACTGCCATGCTTTCAGCTGCTCGTTGTCGAGCTTCCTGGATGAGTACCCATGAGGTCAACTATCGCGAGTGGCGGCGCTCCCTGCGCTTCTATGGCTTTGAGGGTGATGCCAGCACACTGTGCCTTGACTCTTTTGGCTTGGAGATCGTGAATTGGATGCAGGTGCTGGCATGAGGCCCTGAGAGACAACTCCTCATGAACAGGTTTTTAGCCTCGGTCGGCCACAATCCCTAACCCCTTCATGCCCATGGCTCGGGTGTGAGTCTAGAACGCAATCTTGATCTTGTTTAATTACATTTCAGGCAGTGTCCAACCCTGTTGAAAAAGAGCCTACGAAATTATGAGGGCCTAGATATCACGGCCAAGACTCCAAAGCAGAGCGATTCGCAAGCACAAGTCTACAGACTCAGCCGCCTGAGGTTTTACGCCCTGGATGTCGAGAGGAGCGGCACCCTGGCGCTGCAGGAGGTGGAATTCCTGGATGACGCTTGGTGTGGGTACCTCTAGGCCAGGTGTGAATAGGAGTGTTTGCGAAGTGCTGGCAACTTTATTATTGGAACCTCAGTTTCTTCGAATTACTACGAAGCTTCAAGTACTGCTTCATCGAGTTCGGGCTTGGTCAGGATGTAGGGTTGGCCGCTTTGCGCTTAAGGATGTATGGAAACGTGTCGAAACGGCTTTAAGCCGCCACTTTGTGATGGCGCATGATGTGGAGGACATGGGTTACTGAAGTTGGAGCTGCATCCCCTGACAGCAAAGGAGTGGATCTTCCCCGGTGCGAGCACTACGCAGGAGCCAAGCGGAGGTTTTCAATGCATACCCTGATATAACAAGCCGCTTCTAGGCACCGGCGGCAACGACGCAACATGGGTTCGATGTGGGTACATGCAATCTTCACTCATTTCTTGAGTTTTGTTGCTGCTGTTTTTCGGGAAGCTGCACCAACGACCCTTACTCAAAACGTAACATTTCCGTCAGGAGGCCAGTTCATCTACGTATTCATCCCAGGCTGGAAAGTGAAGTTGGGCTGGCTCAAACTTGATTCGTAGCAGCTCTGCCGACATGGGTGCGTAGAGCGTGTTGAAGTTTGGTTGTGTCGTCTTCGCTGTTTCGAGGGGTCGGCATATCTGCCATGTATTGGGGCTAGGAAAACCAGATTCATTTCCGGCGCGGGACTTGGCTGCTGGTGCGTGGGCAGGTGCTGGGCGAGCCGCCCGTACCACAACACGTGACCACGCAGTACGTCACGGAAGGCCGCCTGGAGAGTAGCTGCAGCAGAAAGCTCGCCGTTACTAATCGGTTTATCCTAAATTCCACAACACCTTACTTGTACATGCAATTCCATACCGTACATCTGCAACCTTGAACGATTGATAGACCACACGACAACTAGCGACCTATCCTAACTTTAGGCATCATTTTGTCCCTGCTTGTTTGTAGAAGCCCTCCTGGATGTACGTGTATGCAAAATCCTGAACAAGAGGCCCGGGCCCTGCGGCCTACGCTGCCGGGCATGGCGTTGGCAGTGGTCCGCCTGCGCCGATGCGGCCCTTCCCGGGAGCTTTCTCCTTCCGCAGCTTGCTTGCGAGCTAAAGGTGTCAACTGGACACGGCATTTGAGCGAGGAGACTTGCATGTAGGGTCAACGCCTAGCTACACTTACTGTCGGCTAAGGAATAAACATGGTTCAGGGTGTAGGTGTAGGAGGACTCCGCGGAGCCTTTCGTCACTTCGTACAAGGCAGTCGAGGCTTCGTCTGCCGAGCGCCCAGCAGTTTTTGTTGAATCCATTTTGGGTCCACCATGACCCCCAGCCACATTCAAGGCGGGAAGCACAAAGTGTCAAGCATCGCCCTGGGCTACATGTTGCCAAACAGCTTCAGAAACTATTAAGTTTGAAGCTTGAGTCAGCCACACAACTAAAAGGTTGAAGGCTTCGAACAGAGACTTACACAGAAGGAGAGCCACCAAACCGTACCCTTCTCACTCCTCCTGCATTGTCTAAGTTGTCCATGCTTTTCCTACCCAAACCTCAGCACTTACCTTTCGAACAGGAAACCTGCCTGAAGCCCGTTTTTATTTTTTAAACAGCCTTTCAAAAGCTCGAACCGAGTTGTCACGAGGCCCGGCTGTCCGGAGTCTTCAACTGCCCAAGAAGTATGGAAAGTTGATACCTTAACCCACCGAGACCACTTTTTTGTAGGTTCTTATGATAGACCCTAATATGGGATTTATAGGGACCCTACAAAAATGTAGGCTCTGGTGGGTTAAGGTATATCCCTATTATCTCATGACTCTACTGTTAAGCAATTTACCCCCAAGCTCCTGAACCGCAAAAGGAAAGCACTAAGCCATTAATCACTGCCAGGAATACGCAAAGTTCTTCGATCCCCAAAGGAAAACGAGTTCCTAAACCCCGAACCTCCCCAAACTCCTAAACCCTGTACAGTAAGCCTTACGCCCTATGGCCATTTAAAGCAAAAAGCCTTCAACTTTATGTCTTGAAAGGGAAGCGGACTGGGGGCACCATGCTCCTGCCGCCGACGCCTCGCGATGCCGGGGAGGAGCCTTCTCCTTTGGACTACGATTCCCGCCCCTTGGTTGAGTTTCGGGGTTGGTTGATTTGGGACGAGGTTTGTGGGGTGAGGGCTTTTGGGTTTATGGAGTTTTCGAATATATTGGGGGCTTGTAGTCTCATGGTTTGGGGTTGGGGTTTAGAGGTTTGGTTTCAGCATATTTCAGCTGTAAAGCTTTGGCGAAGCCTCATGTTATCATGCAAACAACCCTGTGAACTCCGGCAAGCCCAATCTACAACTCATGAAGTTGTTCAACTGGGGATGCTTTTGTGAATCCAATCAGCGCCAACGGCACCGTTAAACCTGCATGGCTAACCCCCTCCGACCTTGCAGTAACGGTCTGGTTGAAGCATAATGGACAGTTTCCAGCCTGATCGAGCGCATTGAATGTTGAATGGTGCCCTAAGGCTTCCAAGCAGTTTCCTGGACTAACTCATCCCCTAAGCACCGGGCCAACTACAGTATGCAAGAGCATGAACAGCGACTCCCAGAAAACAACCCGAAAACTAGCCGACCCAATGAGCCTTAAATCTTATATACCCTGAGAACCCAAAACCCACTTTTTTGTAGGTTCCTATTATAAACCCTAATATGGGATTTATAGGGACCCTACAAAAAAGTAGGTTTTGGGTTCTTGAGGTATAAAGCTTAAACCCTTAATGCCCGGATCTTGCAGTAAAGCTCAGCCCAGGGCCTGGGTGGTCCACCATGGCCCCGAGCAAGCCCTCCTGGCCTTTCAGCACCCCGGCTGCCTCGCCGGACGGTGTCGTATGTAGATATGGGGGTTTCCGAAAATAGGGGACCCTAAAATAGTACCCTAAATAGTAGGATCCTTATTATAAGGGCCCCTAAAAAAGGTACCCCTTATTTTCGGAAACTCCCATATGAGACATTGCGACAAACAGCCGCTAGAGAGTGGAAAGGACTGACGTTGATAATCTCATATTACGTATGCACATACATGTAGTCAGGCATGTAATGCATCTACGTCGGTATACCGAGCATTGAGGCATCTCGGATTTGTACACGATGAAAGGCTCGTCGGGTTATTGTTTCGGAGAACATGACAGTCGACTCCTGCTTTCAGCCAGAGCGACCCAAGCCAAGGCTGGAACGCACAACTGGCCCGCAAGCCCACCAGTTCCAACTTCCCCCAGCCCCCAACCACAAAGCTTACTCCCTGTTCGGTGGACTCCTCGAAAGTCCATGGAAACCTCCGCTCGAAACAAGGGGCTCCCCCACTAGAAACCCACAATGAACCTTCCTGCAAAAACTTCGAAACCTCACACAACAAGACAGCAAGCGCCCAACCCCCCTCTAACACCCTAAACCCTTCAACCTCTGAAGCCCTAAAGGCGCTAGAAGACCTAAATCTCGAGGTAAGGAGTGCCCTAAACCCTGAACCCTAAACTTCGAGGCAAGGAGGCTCGAAAGTCGAATGAGCCCGTCGACAACGAGGAGGAGGAGCAGTCCCCGGGTCCTGGGGCGCAGCTCGGACTCGGTTGCTTTGCCAGCCGTAGTATGGCGCCCAAACCCAAACGGTTACCAACGCAACTTTCGGGTTCTAGAATGTACCCCAAAGCCCTAGTCTAGTCATGAAGGCTCTATGTAACATCCTATTCATCCTGTAGGACTTTGAGATTTAGGGTAATTCAGGGCTCAGGGTTAGACTCCTTGAGGTTTTTCCTGGGTGTGAGTTTGGGGCTTTGGCAGTTTCGGATTTCGTGGTTTCGTGTTTGGGGGTCTTGGTTTTACGATTAGATCCGTTGGGATTGTCGGTGGTTGTGAAAGAATGGAGTTAATGTCTAGGAGGTCACATGAGTTTGGTTGTGAGGGCGCTTGCTGGCTCTCTGGATGAGGGTGCAATGCTTTGATTTGAAGTTTGAATTAAAGAGACTTCCCAGGTCAGGTTTCGAGTGGTCAGGTGGTTTCTCTTGAGGATTTCCAGTACTCAACTGTCTTTTGCTTTGTTTAAAAACTATTATGGCTTTTGATTACAATTATACATCAGGCTCAGAAAACACGAATCCATGGCTGCGCCACAGCTCCCGAGCCAGGTACACTCCTCTGACGGCCCCGGCCGTAGCCGTCGCTTGCACCCCTCGGCGCGCGCTGAAGGTGCATCCGCCTCTTGACTGCAGATACGGGCTAGCGTTTGGGTTTAGGGTTTAGGGCTTAGGGCTTAGGGCTTAGGGTTTAGGGTTTAGGGATACGAAGTCGCACGAGCCTCAGACCTCGAAGCCTCGAGCCCAAAGAGTCCAAAGTACCAAATAATCAGGGTTTCTAGATGAGGAATCACTATTATGATTTGCGAACGTATCCCCCATACAAGTACTTGGGATCCTTTGGGAAGCTATTACTCCAGGGTTTGAAGCTAAGAATGCTCCTCCGTTTCTGGATGCCTTGAAATTGGATTTTCGCGCAGCGAGTTTCTTTTCGTTGGGGGCCGTCAGGTAATATAGAGGCCTCAATAAAGTAGAATAGGGCTTGAGGGAGGTAAATTATATACTACAGTCATAATAGGGAACCCCCAAAACCCTGTTCGAATTATTAAGGCCCCCACATTATGTCAGCTATGAGTGCTGAGGTTCTTCAGAGAGGGCCTGGGAAAGCGGACGCAGTTCACGCCACGGCAGGACGGACGTTCTGTAAGCGAGGAAGCTCCTGGGACAAAGCAAGCAAGCGTAAGCTGTCGGATATGGCTTAGGGTGTAGGGTTTGCGGTTGGGGCTTATAGGGTTTTAGGGTCAGGCCTGTTCTGGTACGCTTCTTTCTTGGCAAGTTTGCTTTCTCAGAAGCCTGGCCCCACAGACAGCAAACGTGACACCAAAAGCAAGGGTGAACAGGGTTAGGGGTTTAAGTCGGAAGGATTTAGGGGTTCAGGGCTTTGTGACGGGGTTTTTCAAGGACAATCATGCTTAGGACGAGGTATTTGCATTTAAAGCGGAAGATTGCCAAATAGACCCTAAAGGTCCATGCCACTCAGGGCTTTAGGTCTTTTGGGGTTTAGGGCTTATAATCGCTTGAGGTGATTTTGGGGACAGGGTTCGGGGGCATGACAGGACATGGTTCCGCCTGATCACTTTGATATGGAAATGGCAGTTTCCGAAAGTAAGGGGTACCCTACTTTGGGGTCCTTATAATAAGGATCCTACTATTTAGGGTACTAAATAGGGCCCCCCCATTTTCGGAAACCCCCAAGTGAGTCTGCCCACCAAACTTCCAACAAGGTAGACCCCCGAAACCTTAAACCCTTCAACACCCGAAAGCGCAGGAACTCGAGCACAGTGGTATCCTTAAGCCCTGAACCCGATCTGTTGGAGAGGGAGGACTCTCAGTCTCATAGTACTTTTGTGCAGTTGCGCCTGTTCTCCGTGCTCTTAAGTGGCCGGACCTTTATAACCTACTGATTTCGGTCCGGTGATTGGTTAATTCTGATCAGCTTTCCTGTGTCAGGACATCCTCGCACTTCCAAGAGTCTGAAGTGTCCTTCCGCGGTCAGAGTCTAGCGGTGGGAGAATGAGATTCCACTTCTTTGTAGTATAGAGTTGTAAAGAATGTAAAGGTTTTGAGTGCCGGTTGTAGAGGTGTTTGTTGTTCCCTAATGGTTTCATGATGTTTCGTGCGTTTGCTCAGTTGTTTGGATTCGTGCAGCTTAGATTAGATAGTTGTTTGTCCTACTTCGGAAGTAAAGTTGAAGCCTGTTTTGGGCTTATAAGGTACTTCGAGGTCTGGAATAGCAAAACAAGTTTACGTTCTGGACAGTTCTTTGATTGACCGGCTGGCATCCCGAAACCCCACCTGGACCCTAAGAAGCCTACCGCTTGAAGGTCTAATACAAGGAAAACATAAGAAGGAGCATGAAAAAGGTACGCTTCACCGCTATAGGCTATATCTACAAGAACCTATAGTCTCTGTGCCATTGTAGTTCCTTTTTTGTTGGTGAGCCAGTCTTATGGCTAGGATGCGTGAATATATATATATATATATATATAGGGTTTAACCAAGAAGCAACTACAATGGAGACTACAAGGTGTAGGGTCCACATAAATTCTAAAACATAACTTATCAATCCATTCGCAGTCGAAGTGTAAACCTCGCGAAGTCGAAACTCTGCCTTCCTCGCGCTGGCTGACGCCAGAGAGCCTGATACCCCGTGATTCGACTAGAATCCTTAGATTTTGGTTTTACCTATAAAAAAACATATATATATATATATATATAGGTTTCCCCAGCTTATCTGAGGTGGAGACCTTCATTACGTGTTCCGGACTAGCCCCTGGAATTCTGTTTGGCATTCGGCTCTCTTTGACTCCATGATTAACAAGGCGCCTTCGCTGGCTCTGCAAGACGCAGGGCCGGAGTAGCGACGCGAAGTCGGAACTTCAAGGACCCTTCAAAATTACGCTATGGCAAGCGAAGATATGATTCCACGGTTTGGGGTTTAAGGTTTCTAATAGGCGCCACAAACACTGTAATCAAAGGTTCCGAGTTTGCACTCGAAGTTGCAGCTCTTGCGTTGATGCTCATGCCCACAGAAAACAGGATTGGCTGGAGGGCTGGGCTTCGGAGTTTAGCAGATCCAGAAGGCCCAGTCAGGGTTCTTTAATCAAAGAATTCAGCTTACATCATAAGTTACAGTAAAGCCCAGCGTGTTTCGAAATTGTTTTGCGTACATTTTCCCATGGGCTTTATGGCCCTGGGATGAGCCTTCAGTCGAACTTTCGTCGTATCCGTCAACCAAGATCTGCATCTTAAGCCGGGACCCAGGGGCTCAGAGGCAAGACCCTCCAATGCTGTCCTTATTTTCCCGAGTTACTCGCATTGCAAAAGTCTCCTTGGAAGCCTACGTATCTCTACAGAAAGACTTGGGTTCGTGTCACATTCTGTGAGACGTGCCCGCACGCACAAACCCAAATCCTGTCAAAGACCCAAATGTTACTGCATGACATCAGTTTATGTCTCCTGCCATGGGACATTTGTTCATGCCTCCTGCCCTCAAACGGTAAAAGCTTGCGACCTTGAGACCTCGCATGGATTGTCCGTGCTATGAGAGTGTAAAACCTTGCGACCCTCAACCGCAGCTACGTCGGTCACGAGGCCATGACACGCCTACCAGGGCAGCCGCTCGATACATGGCTGAGGCCAGTGGGAGGGGTCAGGTTCTTTAGGGATTTAGGGTTTGGGGATTGTTCTAACTTAGAGTCTTAGAGCTCATGATGTGTAAAGGCTAAAGGTCTGAGGTTGGCGGCTTTTTTGTTTGCAGGATTGTGGCTTTCATGAAGCCCTGAAGTCGTTGACCTTACATTCCGCGACGCATATGGGTACTCTAAATTAGCGTCGCTTTTGGGTGTCCTTTTTATAAGGGTGCCGTACTATATCGGGGACCAAAAAAGGGACCCTAATTTAGAGAACTACCCATATCGTGAGACCCCCAAGTCCCGCCTTGTCTAAGCCAGACGCAGCCCATCGGCCAGGCTAAAGCAGGATGAGGCGCAGCTGCAAAACTTCAGCCGGGACCTCAGGTGAAAGGCCGCGAGTTGCGCAGCCGAGCCCCTGAGGGCCTTTAATGTTCCTGCAGCCTTTTCGAATTAATGTATGGGCCTTAAGAATTAGAATAGGTTGTGGGGCCATTACACTATATATACTTATAATAAGGAGCCCCCCCAAAATAGTATAGGTACTGTAATTATTAGGACCCCCACAGTATTCTATGGCCCCCGTGTTCAGTCCGGTATCCGTCTTTCCGGCTCTCAGTCCAGTCATTTTCGCTTCGCTGCCAAGGTTCCGCGAGCTTGCGGATTCAAGGTGTGGGAGAGGCCGGCCGCGTTGGTTTGGTCGTTAATTGGGCATTGTGTTATTATAGTGTGTTTTATAGTGGTTGAATTGGGGATTGCAGGGTTGGATACTGTAAGGGTCTGAATTGTGCTGGTCTCGTTGGCTTCAATATGTGGTTTCAGTCTTTGAGGGTTTCTTGCGTTTGGGGTTCCAGGGCAGCAAACGGCTCGCAAGGTTAGTTGTCTCGTCAGTTGCCTTGTAGGGGTTGATGCTGCGCTCTAAGACTGCCTGCCCCAATAAAGGGCCGGAACGCCTATAGCCTATTGTTGCAAATACTTTAGATATCCTCAAGGCTTTACTACCAACTTCTAAACCCCGGCACAAATCCTAAGGCTTTAACACCTGAACCTTTCCAAAGCACCATCAAACACACAGAGAGTCCACAAATCCTGATCCCCCCCTGTCGATACTTAGACATCGAATGGGAGAACTTTAAACTTGATGGCCTTATACATACCTTTGGTCTGTCTTCGAAAGTTCAAGTGGGGGCCTGGTTGTTGAAGAGAGAGGATATGGAGGTCTGAACATCGGCAAAATCCTTGTAGTCCTAAACTCCATAGCCTTGTTAAAACAGTTAAGCCCACATATGTGACCTGGTGCAAACCCCGAACCCCTAAACCCCAAACCCTCAACCCTCGAAGGGTAGTGCAACAAAAACATGTAGCGCCTGAAACCCTAAAGCCTCAACCCTTAAAAGGCACCCTACGATAGAACCCTATAGTAACCTGCAAAAGAACCTTATTCGGAGGCTTGCCGCTTTGCCCGAGAGTTGCTGTTGCAGCTCGCGCCGGCTTTCGAGGAGCATATAGCCCTGACCTCGAGGTTCCACTTTGACAGGGTTTAGGGTTTAAGGTTTAGGGTTTAAAGTTTAGGGTTTAGGGTTTAAGGTTTAGAGTTTAGGGTTTAGGGTTTAAGGTTTAGGGTTTGGGGTTTAAGGACTAGGGTTTAGTGTGTAGGGTTAAGGTTTAGGGTTTTAGGGTTTAGGGTTCAGGGTTTAAGGTTTAGGGTTTAGGGTTTAGGGTTTAAGGTTTAGGGTTTAGGGTGTAGGGTTTATGGTTTAAGGTTTAGGGTTTGCGGTGTAGGGTTTAGGGCGTAGGGTTTAAGGTTCAGGGTGTAGGGTTTAGGGTTTACGGTGTAGGATTTAGGTTTAAGGTTTAGGGTTTAGGGTTTAGGGTTACGGTGTAGAATTTAGGGTTTAAGGTTTAGGTTTTAGGGTTTAGGCTCTCCCAGATCTCTTTGTTCCAGGTGTGTTGCGCAGACCTTGCCTGGACATGTCCGAGCGTAGGCGTGCTAAACCCTAACCCTTATTAATAAACAGTCCCGACGACTGTTCGAGCTCCATGAAACCTCAAACGAAAACAGCAGGGATATCCCGTAAACCCTAAGTCCTAAACCCTAAACCCTAAACCCCTACACCTAAACCTCTATGAGCCTGAACCCCAGAGCTTTTAAGTCTTGAGCTTGAACCCGAAGCCCCAAAGCCCTTTGTTGAAAACTTCCAAGAACTATTTTAAGGGCTTTCGGAGGGACCCCTAATAGGGACCCTTAATCCCATTACCTCAAATAACCATATTATAGTCCTTATATACCCCTTATATAGCCAGGTAGTCTCCATATTAACCCCAACAACCTACAAGGGTCCCTATTGAGGCCCTCCTAAAGCCCTTAGAACTGTGCCTTAAACCCTACTGTAACAAAAACAAATAACGGCCGCACCTCAACCAAGGCCGCCCTCGCCTATCATAGGGACGTCAACGCGCCCGCACCTCAGGGAATCACCTATTTTGATAGGGTGGAGGGCTTTGGCGCTGTGGAGTTCTGCGGTTTATGGTTTAAGGCTACGGGTTTAGGGTTTTAGGAGGTTCTCTCAACAGGTCTTCTGCGGCATATCTGCAGGTTGTCATGAATATTGAAAGGGTCGCAATTGTGCCCGGAGGGTTTAGAGAGCGGAGATTTGAGAATTGAGGGTCAATCACGGTACAGCTGCGCAAGAAGTGATACGGTACATAACATACCTTGCCGACTCATTGTAGTCACTGCCGCCCCGACAATGCAGCAAAAGGCCTGCAAACGATGGCAGATTGCAGAACCCAACCTACAGGAATGCACAGACGGTCCCGTGGCTTGCACTTCGCTTTGAGACAACATCCCAACCTAAGAATACCGTTTTCCTCGGAGGCACAACATTCTCATCGACATGTCCGAAGGCCCAAAGCCCAAGTATGGCTGCTTGGTTGCATTAAGATCACATCAGAAGGTCATATTGCACCGTATACGGACATCGAAACCCCGAAGCCACCCTGGGTTTAGGATTCAGGGTTTAGGGTCTACATGATAAACCCTAAACTCCTCCTGAGAGTGACCGAAGAAGCGGCTCGCAAGACCCAAACAACCACGGCCCTACAGCGAGACCTCAAGCCCTGAACCGACATATAATTGTATGTATGTATGTATGTATGTGTATATACATATGTATATATATATAGAGAGAGAGAGAGAGAGCACTAGTTACTATCACAGAACAGCAGCCTGCTTTCCACTACTGCTACGACGAACACGACGACAGCTGCTGCTGCCATTGATATCATGCCGCTACTTACCATTACATAAGCATACCGTCAATCAGATGGAGCTTCAAACCACCA